ATTTTTGTAAATACAAGATGCTACAGCAAAACTTTGAACTTGCAATCATAATATGGAAATCAAAAGTGGGAGATATAAATAAAAGCATAAACAAACAAGATAGGTTTTGTTCTTACTGTTTTACTAAAACTCTCCCTCAGTTTATGAGTTACTTATGAGAATTATTACAGTGTTATCATATAAGGTCAAATTAAGAAAGGATACATTAATGTTGACTAAGTTCCGTTAAATAATAATAATATTTATACAAAAATTATACAGAGTTTTCTCAATAATGTAGACTTCTACAAAATATATGATGGGCTTATTGGCCTGCATGTTTTGAATACTAAGTTTAGTTTTGTTATAAAACTACATCAACAGCTAATACCTTATGTCACATTATATTAATGTTAGTTTTTACTGACCATTCTCAGGGCAAGGCATCTGCCCAGGTGGAGGAGGTGGAGCATTTGAAGACTTATTACAACCAATTGGAGGTGGTGGTGGTGGTGGTGGGGGAGCTACAGGTGGAGGTGGTGCAGGAGCAGGTGGTGGAACTGGTACAGAGGGAGATTTTCCAAGTTCAGATTTTGTTGACCCTGTTAAAAACAAGTAGTATAATGTATTCAGATGATAAGAAAAACTCAAACTCTAAAGAATTATAGTTTTAGAAAGTTAAAATTTACCATTTTTAACAGTTTTTTATCAAAACCCAGGAAGACATAACGTAAACATAACACTAAACCAATAAAAATATGAACAAAGCTGTTTCACTTGTAAATCTTGTTCAATTGTAGCTTCTTGCATACGGGTGAGATTTCTGTATTTGCAAATAATGGTTAACTATAACTTCTTCCATCTATAAAAGCAATGTGCTCATCAAATAGCCATATATCAGACACCATTCTTAAGTAACACACTAGAAATTTATTCCTAACTGAAAATAAAATTGCATCCAAAGTGGCATTTATTTTTACAATTACTGAAAACAAATTGCATCAAAACCACACACACACACACACACACACACATATATATATAACAGCAGAATTGTTATTTCTATTTTTATAGGAGAAAATTGTATGTTTGATCAAGTTCAGTTAAATATGCTACATTAAGGGCACCCTTAACATAAAAAACAAGCCACACAAATCTGGATTCTATATTGACCTTACTAAATTTGTGAATTTTAAGGTTCCCCATTTTGTTTGGTGTATGCAAGACAAAGATATTCATGAGTTGCATGTTGCCATGACATGGAGCATTGTCAACAAGAGGTCTCAAGGGGTGGATTAGCTGTGCTCTTTTTTCTTTACTTTTGGTCACAAAGTTTCAAAGTACTTCAGAGTTTGAGCTGCTAACCATTTCCCATTTATTTTACTGTCAATGACCGAAGTATAAATTCACTGAATATAAAGCAACAAATCACCACTTGTGTCATTAGACTGTTTAAGCGACACTGTAATTCGATAGTTTCAAGAGCAACAAAACATGAGTACAGAAATAAGCCGAGAACACGATGTGGAACTTATGAGCTTATGTATCCTACAGTGTTTACAACTAGAATTCCCCAGAGTAACAAGACTGCACTTTGAATCCGAGAAAACATTTATTACAGTATATGGTTCGGAGCTGATCCAATAAACATTGCAAGTGTTTGAATATTGGTCATCCTTATGGATGTTTTGAAATTAGTGGTATACCATACAGGCATACAAAGATAACTGCTGCTTTACCGACTGCCTGTACAAAGAACAAGACTAAAGATACTGCCCTTAATCCGGAATATCAAAGTGCCCATTATTGCATGATTTATTTTGTTTACAAATAATAGAAAAAGAAAGAGATTGAAAAGGTCTGCCCTTAATGGCATGGTGCCCATTGTTTTTGAGGTACAAGTTAATCAAGGTTCTACTGTACTACACCATTTCCACAAGTTACAGAAGAACCAAATATATTTGCACACTTATTATTACATCAATAGTGATCAATCAGTTCAACAAAAAATGAAGGTAATTTCTGAATTGTACTAATTCACCTCTTGGCAGTGAGTTCTGAAGAGTTTCAAGCTCAACTAGCTTAGATTCCAACATGCTCTGCCTCTGTCGTGACTCTTCTTCTTTCATGGTATTTTCTTGGCGTAACGTGTTCATTTCTTCATCCATTTGATTTAGCCTCTCCTGCAAGAAGTTGATGAATCATTTTTACTTATTTCTTGGTAACCATATTTTAAAAAACTTTCTTTTTTTTTTCCTTTTTCTAGATTACTTATGAGACCCTTTTTTCATTTCATACCATACCTGCAGTGGCTAAAAAAATACTAACCCATGCTAACAGCAGTACAAACTTAAAACCATTATACGGTGTTTCTCTTACTCATTTGCTTTGGGAGTACAAGGGTTACTGGATATGTGAAATTCAGGGATAAATGGTTATTGCATGTGACCAAATGTGGAAATAAAATATAGAAAACAGAAGGTACATGAAGAAGTTTGTAATAGTTGCAAAGACAGAATGTTTTAAAATTAGTTTAACAATACTCTATTTCCTTAGATTTAAGCAAAATAAATACCTACAAAAACTGAAAATGCTTTTAAACTGCAGTGAGCAGCTCATATTTTTTTTTATGTTCCCAGTACTTTTCTATTTCCTGCTTTCTTTTCAGTTAGCCTAGCTGATGTAAGCTTTCCTATAAAATCTTTTAACTGCCCCTCATTGTTCCTGATATCTGTTTCTATAGCAATTGTTTTAAATACATTTGTTATTTTAATCCTCACATGCTCATTAATGTCTACATTGACAATGCAGCAGTGATGAATCTCAGCTTGTTTATGAATAGCTTGAAATACAGAAATTTGAAAACCTGGTTAAATTTCCAAATAGCAGCACAGGAGAAACTAAGCATTTTAGTAACCTTCAAGACATTTTTTTTTTTCATATCGTAAATTATCGAAAAAAATACAAAAGCCTAAAGTTAAATGATAACAGAATTGAAGATTCTTCTAATTCTTTCAGTATACAATGCAACTTGATAAACATATTTCCAACAAGTTTACTGGTTCTTTCTTTTATAACATGACTCTTATGACAAATAATTCCAGTAATTATCATTCTTACAATAAACAGATTGATTGTTGTTGCATTAACCATGGTTAATACAGAGTCAAGTACAGTAGTAATATTCTCCTCTACCTATAAGCTTTACTTTTCCAGACTTCACGACACATAAGAGATTGTTTAACTTTTTACATTTCCAGCCTATTTTTCATCAATATTTTTTTCTACTATATGGTATCCATAAAACTTCAGGTGCATCATTTGTGTTCATAACTTTAGACTTTAGTACAAGCGATACTTATCATACAATATAATCACTAGTTCACTTTTAGAGAGAGTACACTCTCAGAGATCAAATAATGAATGTTCTGCTACTGTCAATTATAAATCACAGGAAAAAACATAGCATTCCTATGATTTTTACTTCAGTGTTATTATACACTACTTCACAAAAAATATTTACAAATTTAATTTCTTCAATATATTCATCTCAGAAACCTAACCTCAATTCAAGTGTTTTTGTCAAAAGTAATCAATTATACAAACATATGGTCAGTTATGCTTCTATTAGTATAACTTTTTATATCTTTCTCTCTACAGCTATTTCCAAATAAACTCAATGCAATAACTGTAGTTATAAGGGAACTAACATAAAGTCAGTCCTTAGTCGACCAAACTGTGCACTACTGCTAATAACAGTAGCTACTGTACAAGCACATTAAAAAGCATATTAACATACTTTTCCTTAACATCCTTATTGATTGATTATTTTGGGATTTCCAAAACTATTTCATTAGCCATCCCAAATTATGAACTTATAGAACAGAAGAAAGGCAGCTAGTCAACAGCACCCACCACCAACTCTTGGACTACCCTAATTGAGGAGTGAAATGTTACCATCACTCTTAAAATGAACCTTAAATGTGGGATGTGTTTCTGCAGCAACAGGATGCAAAATATGAACCTTTGGATTTACAGTCTAATGCACTAACCACTGGGCCACACTCGGCTCTTAACAGCCTGGACTTACAATGTCAAACAAAAAGGTATTGTTTCTTTAAATAAGACAATAAAAGGTATATTTCTGATCTACTTCACAACGGACATTTGTAACAGGTTAAATCAAAAGCAGGACCTTGACATAACTAGATTCTTGATCACTTCAGGAATAAAATTCAAATACATACTCAGACAACTAAATAGCAAACACTCCAGGAAACTTACAAAATACAATGTAACAACTGCCCAGCCTTTTAATTATATAAAGCAGGATGCAAATCAGATGCAAGAATAAAAAAAAAAATCTGCTACTGTCAATTCTAAATCACAGGAACAGCATAGAATTCCTATGATTTTACTTCAATGTCATTGTACACCACAATACAATATTTAAAAAGTTCATTTTTTCAATATATCTATCTCAAAAACTTAATTCATATTCTTCTGAAAAACATAATCAATTATACAAAAATATGAAGTTATACTTTTATTACTATAACTTTCATATCTTTCTCTCCAGCTATTTCAAAGTAAACTCAATGGACTAATTTTAATGATAATGGCACCATCTTTTACATGAGATGACAAAAGCGATATTTCTGGTCTACTTCATAACAGAAATCTGTTAAAGAAATGCTTATTTTTTATTTTGATATTGTAAGTCCAAGCTGTTAAGGCCCGAGTGTGATCTAATTGTTAATCTAAAGGTTTGTATTTCACATCTCATTATATAAACTAGCGTATTCACATAATTTGTGGTCAATGTTGACTTTATAAAGCTATTGTTTCACTCACCACACAATATCTAGCTACTGCTAGTGTTATATCTTGGTCTCTTTAGAAACCTACAAATATATGTCTGTTTACAAAACTTTCCAATCGCACTGTTTGTCTTTTTCTTCATTCTAACCCCCTAGTTATTCATATTTCTAAGATACAGATAACATATTTTCAAAGTATATCATAACTAAAATTTAACTGCGATCTAAATTGAGCATAATATGCATTGTACAAGAACCATTAACACATACCTCCATCTCAGTTTTTTCCTTCACGATATTTTCTAGTGAAGTTTCTAGCTCAACTAAGAAAGAAATACTAATTAATTCAAATAGCTTGAAAAGAAAAAAAAAACATGTAATTAATTCTTCATCACAATTTTGTCTGGTCAATCACACTCAGTTAAACATTAAAATTTATAAAACAACTAGTAAAGAAAACAAAAATAGTATCTCATGTTCACAACAGTGTAAACAAATGTAGCAAAAACAATATAATCAGCTCAGAGAAATTTTTCTAACTTCTGTATCTCTTTAACTTAAAACAGATCAAAGGAACTCTTGAAACCTTATGAATATAAATATCATCAATATTAAAACTTATCTTGAAAATCAGTTAAAAGACTCTCAATTACTCATTAACATGTAAGGAAGTTGTACCTGTTGTGTTTTTTTTAAAGGTTTTATATAAATATATTCCTCTCACTTAGTTCTATGGTTAAAGGCAAATCTAACAGTTTAACCAACTTTGAATTCTGTACTGAAATTTTAAACAAATTTAACTTTCAGCACTTTTACACAGAGGTGACAATTGCAAGCAATAAAAGGTACATATTTTAAATAAAACAATGCAAAACTTGCTACCCCATAAACTCTATCTAGCTACTATGCAATTTTAAGAATCTATCATTTTAAATTTTATGAAAAGGTGGCAATGAATAAACAAGCAACAATGTTTTAAAATTATAGTTTTAACTGTTGGAAGCTGATGAACCATTGGATACTAACAGGCTTACTATAATAAATCATGCTACAGTGCAAACAATTTTTATCACATTATTCTGAATTTGTATATTAAAAATTTTCATATCAGAGACTTGAAAGTGACATGTGTAGTCTAAAATGATAGGTCTGAAATGTTATTATTTTACATGCTTCCAATTTTAAATTTATAAGAGGAATGTTATAAAAAAAAGTTTGGATGGTCTAGTGTAATTTTTCTTAATAGACATTAAACCATAAAAAAAAAATTCAAGTTGGATAGCTTTAATAGTTTCATGAGACTTTCAAACTGAAACTATACAAAGAAGAAATATCCATTTTTTAAAACAAAATGTAAATAATATAACAAAATTCACTTGTTTATGCAAGCAGTAAAAAAATAAATTTTGTAATACAAATATAGGATGCATGAACTATTCTTTTCTGTAAACAAAATGAAAAGGTTGTATTGATTTCACTTTTATTTTCTTTAAATGGAAAAATCTTACCTAGTCTTGCATTTAGCTCATTTTCTATTTCCTGTTTCTCTTCAATTACCTTAAGAAGAAATTAATTAATTTAAAATAGAATTATAGCAAGCAACTTTACATACTGTATGAAACATATTATTAAAGACGTATCACAATGTACTATGTAATAGTAAATTTTTCTATTAAAAGAAATGAAAACTTCTAACCAGAAATTGTAATACACAAAATTCCATGGATAAAATGTTAAGTGGAGTAAGTTGAAAATCCTAATTTCCTGTTGAACCATCAAGCCAGTAGAACACCATAACTTTGTAGCTTGTGATAATTGTTTTTTAAATCCTTGTCACAAGGTAACCATGCATGCACACAATACCTAAACTAGGAAGAATGCTTTTTCTAAATGACAGATAAACATCATAAAGGTATTTGTGGATTTATCTTATTGATAATAAGTAATAAGTTGGTTTTCTTCTAACAAAAAACAATGCATGTTTTGTAATTACTGGTAGTTAAGTTTCACTAAATTTGAAAACATTTAAAGTACCAAATTTCTCAAATGCTTTACCCACAAGTTCACTAGTCCAACATTGCAGGAGGAAAGTAATTATTAAAAAGACTTTTATAATGTTTTCATCTTCTGGATGATAAAAACAAATATATAATTAATCATCCAAAATACATTGTAATCACTAAATCTTTAAGCATCAACAAACAAAACTATCCAAACATGCACATGAAAGTATAATTTTTTTTTAAATCACCTTATGATAAACTTCAAACACTTTCTCTGTAGTTGTAATTCTGTATGTTAAGACATGATAAACTTCAAACACTTTCTCTGTAGTTGTAATTCTGTATGTTAAGACATGATAAACTTCAAACACTTTCTCTGTAGTTGTAATTCTGTATGTTAAGACATGATAAACTTCAAACACTTTCTCTGTAGTTGTAATTCTGTATGTTAAGACAAATGCTATTTCAAAGTTAATCATAAACTTAGTGTCAAATGTTGTCATTCACATACATAAAATAAAGAAGAGTACTGGATTTTTTCTTTTGAAAACTAATTATGGTGACATCATGTTGAGTGCAGTAAAGTGGTTTAAACATAAAAAAGAAATATATTTAAAAGTTTTTCCTGATCTTATAATAACTCGGCCTAAACGTGCTTTCGCTAATCCTCACAAAACCCTATGAACACACCAGTTTGCATCGTACTTTGAAATAACTCTATACAGGGTTTATAGAAAAATTATACTCAACAAGAAAAAAATTATACTTTTTTCCTGTAATATTTAATGTATGATGGTCATATTTACCCTTGATAATTGTTGTTCTATGTCTGCCAGTGCATCTAATGCAGCATTCTTGGTCTCAGAATCTTCCATTAATGCCACTACATCAAAAACGTTGTCTAGATAGGCAGATATTTGCACCTGCAGCTCCTCACTTTCACAGTGTCTCAGTTTTTCTAGATATTCATCCAGTCCAAGTTGTGTGAATTCATACTGCAGGTGAACTCTGAAGTTCACATCCTCCACAGAATGGACTACGATGTTGATGAACTGCATGCAGGCGACCTATGGAATTTCATATCAAATTGTACCATAAAAAAATTGGAAGCAACATTCAACATAATTTACTTAAAAAACAACCAAGAAACTACAAATACTTTTACAAACCATAATATTTTTACCACAAACTTTTCTTAACTGGTATTTGTGCTTAGTAATTACATGTTGAATATCTTGGAGTGAAGTCATTAGTTTAACACAGAATTTGGAAAGGTTTTAATACTTCCTATACATTTAATATATCACAGTACAAAATTAATGTGTGTGTATATATATA